ATATATGTGTAAATACGATTACAAAGATCGACTGGATGACACAATGCTGCTCTATCCAGAGGACGTAACTGAAAATACTGCAAAGAATCATCTATATCAGTAAATAATTCACCAAAAAATGGATCTGAGTTTTCAGCAAGAAACAGATGACTAAGAGGCTTTGACTGACAACTAACTTGCCTCAGAAGAGCTTTTGATTCTTCTGATGGAATAAGCTCATCAACATGATAGCATATCCAGGGGTATTCTTGAAAACTAACAAAGTCTGAATCATCACATTTTCTTGGCAAGTGAACAATTAAAACAAATACAGTTGATGACTGCTGTTTAGTTATTCCTTTAATTTTGTCAACTAGCCGGTATCGACAGCAAGAAATTAAGTTACCATTGTCCTGTCCAAATTCACATTCAAAAATTTGATAAAATTGCTGCAGCTTTCCTTTTTCTAAAGCAACACTGTATACAAAAAACTCACCACAATGAAAAACGTGCATGACTTACTCAACACTAGCCAGGAACTCATACTCAGTTTCAAATGCTTCTAAATGAACTCTATCAAGTTGTTTATCCTCCAGGTTTAAAATATCTTTTAGAGAGTGTATTTCTCTTTGATACATTGGAAGACTATGAGAAGTTGCCTGAAAATAGACAGAAAATAATTGATTAATTATTACATCCATTAATCTAAAGCTACTTGTATTAAAAATTTATTTTCAAAATCTGATGAAATTCTTTGTAAAAGTCCACCAAGTGATGAATGTTCTTGTTCAAAAAAATAAACTTGTTTGAGAAACAGGCTTTCTTTAACATTTTTTTTGAGAGCTCTGATAACAGCATCTGGTGTAGCCATTTGTAGCAACAATTTCTTACTTAGCTGAAAGACCTATAAGCACATTTACAGTGATTCATAGCAAAACAAGAATAATACCATTTCTTGTTTTTCAAAAGTATTGTCAGACTTTTGAAATTTGGCACTAGCTTGAAGGACAACAGCTGCTTTGGTGTCAGAATTGTACCCAACAAAAGCATCTTCTATCTTAAACCTAAAGAAAAATGCATTAAATAAACCTGATTCTTAATACCCATTATCAGTCACAAAGCTTGTAAGCCATTTCTCTATGTCATCAACTACATTCTTCTGCCAATCTTCCAAAACTGTTTCATTGTTAATGAAATGCTTTTCTAAACGATTCACTAATGGCGTAGGAAAGTCTTTGTAAACTTTTTTTTTCTCAGCAATCAATATTAGCCTAAAATTTTTCATGAAATTAAAAAAAATTAATTAATAATAACAATTTGACCAAACTTGAAATCTTCATGCACAGAGCATTTCATTCTATGTGTTCTTAAGCCAAGATCAACATAACGATGACGACCACTTTTAATGTAGTACTGAATGCATTGAGAAAGAAATGTTAAAATATTTATAAATAATATGATAATACTTGATTTAAAAGGTCATAAAGGCTCTCATACAAGTTCTCCAAATTTAATAAAATAATCATGCGCCCAGTTTCCATACACAGTCTAATTTCACTGATGTTACGACAAACCTATATAATATTTCAGTAACCACAAAACTATTATTATTCTATATACTTGAGCAAAATCTTTGTCCTTAGGAAAACTACTGCCAAATAGAACAAATGGTTCATAATTGGATTCATTTGATTTTGAATAACTACTCATTATGTAATGCTTGAGAATTTGTAGGGAAGAATAATTATCAGTCAAAAATAACAGATAGCGACTTTCACTATAGCAAAAGAGTAATTAGCTATTACAAAAAGGCATACTAACCCATGTTTTGAGGTGTCCTTGTTAATCAAACTTTCTCTTATTAAACCGCGTGGTGAACAATCAGGATATGCAATGCTATTGTCCTGTTCAAAAGCACAATTAAAAGTTACTGCAAAATTTATTTTTACTGGATGAGCTGGAAACAAGATTGTTTCATTGAGAATTTCTGTTGGCTT